GGTCTTGGCTGACGTTACTGAATTTGAGTTTACAGCCCAAGGTAAACGTATAACAAAACTGCCACATATTTTGCTGAATGGTAGTAACATTGTTATGATGGTGCCTGGTGGAGAAGGTCCTGAAATTTAAACTATGTGGCATTTTCACTGTATATTAAATAAATATAATAATATATTGTTCGTAACATTGTTCATTGTTGTTTCCGGATAGTAGGATTGTTCTGTTATTGGTCTGTAATTCTATTTTATTTATTTATTAATTTGAACATATAAATATTGGTACAAGAGGGCACCAAATATATATGCGCCGCACAAAATTTTATTTGTGTGTGGGCTGTGATACTACCCGGGTGCCCAGACCGAAGCAGGTGGTTTTCTTAGGGAGTTACATCTGGAGCCTTTGACCTAAAGGTCTGCAGTAATCCGAACCTACTTAAAAGTGATTTAAACCTTCAAGATGTTCAAAATCATTAGAAGCCTTAACTGCTTTGAATCTGAAACTTTGCCACTAGTCAGACAAATAACACCCTGAAGGATAGCATGAATGAGTATCTGTCCAAGTTATCACTCTTCAAATCATCACAATACAAGGGAATTAAAGTAAGAAAATAAGGTATTTGGGAGCACTATTTTGCACGCTATCATTTAAGATATAGTCTGAAGGGAACAAATATATCTAGTAAAAGGGAGTGAAGATGAATATAAAGAAAAATCAAGTTTGCAGGCTACTAGCGCATCAGATATTCGTAACTTATTGTTAGACGCTGTAAGTTTTTCATTTTTTCATAAAATGGTGGGTTTTAGTATATTTTTATGAAAGGTGACTACTAAAAACGGTAATAATGAACTTAAAGAATATGGGTGTAACTTCAGCGATATGTGTGACAGACTATCCATAATCTAATCGATTCAGTCAGTCAGCGGCAACGTAGGAGCAGGCACATATATGCATCGGTCCAAGTTGCCATACCGCATTAGCACAACAAGATGAACACCAAATTCATAGAAGTAGTTAATTCAGTGGTGGTAATATATAGAAGAAAGATTGCATATAAGGAGACAGTACAGGAAGAAAGAATTAGTTCATGGAAAGAAAGATCTGAAATAATTTTAGTCTCATAGTTTAAGGGAAGACAGAGAGTGTATACACCTACGCCATTGTGATTGATTCTGAGCCATGTCACCAAGAGTCTCCAACCATTGGTTACGATAGTCACGCGGACCCCAACCAGGCAGTCTGAATCTACCAACATGGCTCAGACCAGAATTTGGTGACTTCAAGCACTGATGCCACTTTTTGGTTTGGCCGCCCCTAACTTTCTTCCAATCATCCTTAACACCGGTTAGCATTGCGCATCGTGGTAATCAGTGTTCAGGCATACACAGCACGTGGCCCAACCATCTCAGTCGATGAAGATTCATAACCTCATCAACTGATTTACCATCATTCCCTAGTACCCTGTGTCTAACCTCACTATTACTTACCCGGTAATCCCAGCAGATGCGAGCAATATTTCTAAGGCATCTGTGGTCAAATACTAGTAACTTACGAGTATCTTCTACTCTTAAAGGCCATGTTTCACAGCCGTACAGTAGAATGGAACGAAATGCCGGTTGGGATATAATCGATTACTTCGAGGACAAACTGACTTGAGTCTTGTCGGTTTGCCCACTGGTTTGTTGAAAGTGTATTTTCGTCAGCGTGTGCATGTCCCGATCAGCAAACTTACTACGAGACAAATTTCTACTACCGATACGTCAAAACAGTAGTTCAATATCCATGGGTATGTGTTGCTTACAAGACACTTAAATGATTGAGTGTATTTCCCATGTTTCTCTAATGTCATGACTCTGTAACTCAGCTTGCCATTCCATGTTTGTTTTCTAAATATGGATTTCTTTAAGGAACCGTAACCCCTTATTAGACGCACATCGAGAAAAGATATTGACTGGTCTCGCTCACTTTCTAATGTGAAGTCTATGGAAGGGTGGCATGTGTTGAAGGATTTTAAGATGTCTTCTAATTCAATATTATCATCACAAACGACAAATTTGTCGTCCATGTATCTTGCGTATAGATGAAACCGACTAATCATCAAAATAAGTTGGTCGTTTTTCTTTTTTTGCCATGAAACAGTCTGCTAAAATTGGATATTCCTTCGCTGAACTTCTTGTTATTAATGTTTAATTGTTGCTCATGATCTAATTATTTCGAACTCAAAACTTTTCGTCTGTCTTCTGTGAATGTAGATTTTTCCTTATACTATTAATATGTAAAGAATTTAGAAACAAGTGCTATCGAAATTCTCCACATTTACTTCCCAGAATTAACTGTACCTAACTATTTAGAAGAACTACTTCAAAATCTACCTACTAGTTTCCTACGTATGCTTAGAACCGGTAATGTTTACTCTATCCTAATCATGATATATAAGTGTATGAATATATAATGAGGATAATTTAGGAAAAAACTTGTCATTCCTGACTAACATTAACTTAACAACCCTCGAAAATTGTATGATCGGCTTTACAGATTTCATTAACACAACCCAGTTCTAGATAGACACTAATGGACAAAACGCTTAGTAGAGATCAAGCTGTAGCTGTAAATAAATCCCCTAAATAAGCAGCTCTGTGACATGCGTTGGTCTTAGCAGTTTTATTGGACTCACCTCTAGCTGAAGGCACTCGGTCAATCATCCGCACCAAATCACGTTTGGGTGCGCCGTGATAAGCATCTACAAAAACTAGTCAGTTTGGAATCGATAAATATACGGTACATCGATCCTTAGTCCCGATATACGTCCATATCCTGATTTTATTGACTTTGGGATCACTTTATGAGAAAAGATTTCGAACAGTAGTGTTGTCAAATCCTACGTATCTGTGACCTGTTCAAGACATTTACTACAGAAATGAGAAATTACAATCTTCATGATACATATTTAATATGGGATTTTCCTTGTTAAATTCACAGCAAATTTAAGGTTAAATTGATCTTTCTTAGGTTTTCGACACTGAGGTCACATTTAATGTAACCACGAACGTTCATAACTTCAAATTAAAAATGTCAACACTTCAGCACGAAGTCCAATCGCCTACTTATCAGTTCTTAACATAGCTTGAATACCACACTGCCATTAGTGGGTAATGTGTCGATTTATCTGACTACAGATCATAGCTACCCTCCATAACGCCCTCATATTCATTTGAAAAATTTAGTAGTAAACCAGATAGAAGTGCATGCCTTCATTTTTTATATCACAAACTGTTGAAACATGTCCCCATACGACGGCACTTAACATGGAGGCGTAATAATCTCATGAATCGCACCGCAAAAGTTAGAGGTTTCGGAGGTCGAACTCGAGGGATTGTAAGGTGTTTATGTTGTACATATGGAGACCCAGAAGTGCCCATGATCATCACAAGTTATATTGATTCATTAACATTTTAAGGCGCTAAACAAATAATACTTTTTCGTATTGGTTGTTCGGAACTTCCCATTAATGTTTAGGACTGCAATTGATCAGTCTCTTATTGGCATATGTGCGGAATGCCTCGATATTGCCCTTAGTCACAGGAATTATAAGCAGAGATGATCGTAGCTAGCAATAGAATCCCGGACGGCGCTTCGTCCTACTCGGGACTCAGTGGACGTACCTGCACCCCAGAGTTGATGTTCACTCAGGGACTCTGACCCAGTACCGTTCGCTTCAAACTCTAACGCGTTATCCACTTAGTTACTGAGTCCAGATGACCACTGGGTTGTGCAACGGAGTGAAGTTTGATCTATCTGAATCTTCTGACTGATGTTTAGGACTGCAATTAATCAACCGTAGAGTATACTACAGAAGACTATTGTCTAAACTGATCAGCTTTACGGATTTTAACTATACATGAGTGCACAATCGTCATGCAAAACGTGAATGAGCACCATAGTAATATAGGTATAAGCAATACCAATAAAGCTATGATAGAAACCCCTTAAAATGGAAATATTTTCTCTGATAATTTTCGAAATCCCCCCAGAACCCATATCAATCATCATTCTAAACGGTCATGAATTAACCTTCGTGAGTGGATATTATGTGGTTGTTTAACAGTTAGTTTCTTAAGGAAATCCTTATTCAAGTGTAAAATATCAGCTGAAGAAACTTAATACTCAAGAAAAAGCTGAGAGTAAGATGCTTTTTTAAGTATCACAAGTGAATATTGATGAAAACAGAGTACCAAATAATCTTATGAAACCATGCCATGAAAAGTACTAATTATGATCTGACGTATACAAATATATCAAATGTCTTATAAGAATAATCATCATAAACAAAACACCATATTTTTAGATAAAACCTACGCAATTCTGTAGAGGCTCAATCGATATCAGCATAATAGCGATTTAATTAGCTGTCTATATTTACTAAATTTAGATTGTTTTGCTGCAAGAAACTAATTTAAGCTTATCGATTAAAATACTATAGAACACTTTGTAAACTTATATTTTAGGGTAGTACATGAAATGCCCTGGTATGGCAGAGTGTGGAGTGTCTACTCTCCCTCTCGAAATGCTCTCACATGGCCACGCGTATATAGCCTCTGTCAGGGAAGTCCTAATCACTGCCTTCTCGTGGCGGGGGTGTTGTTTACAAAAATGAGAGGACGAAAAGCGAATGTCCGGCGCTATAACCGGATCCCAAACCAATGGTGCACATGGGCTCCAGTATCCTGCGGGAACAAATGGCGTATGAAGCAATCGTTGGTCACCGGCTACCATGGGACTGCATCTCCTTACGATGCTCCACTGCCTTGTGGATCAGATCATCAGGTCGAAGGCTACGGGTGTGGCCCCCTAAGAAAACCACCTGCTTCGGTTTGGGCACCCGGACAGTATCACAGCCCTCACACATATCAAATGAGATTTGTGTGGCGCATATGTATTTGGTACCTCCTTGTACCAATATCTATGTGTTAAAATAAAATAATAAATAATAGTACATGAAATACCACTAAGAAAATCCACCGTTTATTATAATACATTAACAGTATCGATCGATGTCAGTAGAAGCTTGAAATTTCCAGAGCAGTAAGACAATCGGTATCAAGAAAAAGAGAAAACAACTATGGCTAGTTTAAATTTACAATTTTGGTAGAAAATAAAATTTGAATGAAAAGTAGACCACAGTAGAATCAAAGTGTAAGTGATGTAATAATTCTTAGTTGATGAGAAGTTTATGTATGTGCATGTTAAACACAACGTAACTGTATGTAAAGAATAGCAATATATTTACAACCACAGAATAATTTATGTACATTTTACGAGCCAATTCACATTGAGAAAACTAAATAACTCAGTGTACTACAGTACATAAAGGTGGAATAGCCTGGATCAATCGAAATAAACAATGGCCAAATTAAATTATAGTACCAGCAAGTGCACGTGCACGAAGAATGAAAAACTGAGCGGTACCTAAAGGATTGGGATAAATTGTATCTGGTGAATGATTTACACAAGAAACAAGATGTCCTTGTGTAAGAGATCCATTTAATACTGAAGACCTGGACGATTGTAAAGTTGATGAATTATTATGTCGTTGATACAGGTCATTATCATTACGATTTTGCGATCCATTAATTAATGGGTGAAATGCATTCACATTTTCATTTGGTCTAATATCGTCTGAGTCAGTCAAACCACCAAAAAGAAATAAACAACCATGACCAAAAGCACATGAAAAACCTAAGCATTCAGGTGGTGCGGAATAAAGATCTAGATAATTTTGTTTGACAGGTGCCAACCAAACACCTTTAGCCTTATTTTCTGTGAAGTGAATTTTAGTTTTAGAACTATATGATGCATCAGAATGAGAGTATACAATGTTGAGTGTATACAGAGCCAAAGGACGATAAGCACATTCAAGTTTTACGTGGTTAGAAGGATACTGGTTATGATTGGATGAATTCTGATTTGAAGAAAATGATCGAGCAAATGATGATGTATTAACTTCATTAGGGACTAGGTTACGTGCTCCAAACAGCCTTCGTTCTTGAATAGCTAAAGCTTCAAGTCTCCGTGCACGTCTGTAATTTGCACGCCTAGATGATGGGAGTTGCAGGATCCCAGTCGATTCACGATCTATAGAAGAAATATTAAATTATAAACTGTTATGAGAATATAGGTCTAGTTGTTTCAAATGCTAATGAAAGTAATAAAACAAACAGTTGAGTAATATAGATTTTCAATAACCATAAAAAAATACAACCGAACAATGTGATTCGTAATATTAGCTACGAGCTATTCCTATCTAAAGAAAATTATATACATTACTTTGAATGGCAGGAACACTACTATTAAACATATTTAGAAAGTGTAATTAGTTACGAGTACGATACAAATTCATTATCTTGTATGCATAATTAAAGTAACTTATAGGACAGAGTTAAAAAGCATCCAGCCCACACAACCTAGTCACATAGTTTTTTTCCTGTTTATCAATTTGAATAAAGTAAGAACAAAGATCGTGGTAGAAATAAGTCAATTCATATTAATTTGTAGTGGTCACTGCTTTTACTTTATCCAAATAACTAAAAGTATCCATCTGAGTGACAAACCTCCCTTATTTCAATAAAATAAAAGATCTTTATTTAGCGTAAGAGTATACTTTTATTTATGGTAGATTACTTGAACAGGACGAAACCATTCCTTAGTCTCGATTATCACTTTACGCAGTAACCACAGTTTTGATGAAAACTTTGCAAATAATAAGCCATACGTACTAAATTCACTCGGTAATCTTCGTGAAAAGTCTAAATGTCTAAGTGAGCAGATAGATCAATCCTATCATAGGTACTAAAATAAACAGTATAAAGCTTAGATCTATTTCAGAAACTTATACTCTAAGCATTCGTGTGAGCATTACACGACAGACAAGAATTAACCCTCATAATTCAATCTTCATTTCACTAGCGGCCGAATGATCCACAAAATTCGGGTTCTTCAACCACTAACGTGTTCAACGAAATCCAGTCATATTTTTGTATGTCCATTATTTTGTATGCCAACATATCATACAACTAGAAAAAAACCTATTCTTCTGGGTAATAGTCTTGTCTTGTGATATTAGTTTACGTAAATAATTTGATCAGGTGAGTAGCTATTAGTAGGCCATATAGTACTATTGTGTATCATCTATCGATCAGTATTCTGTCAATTATTTTAACAATAAAGAAACGCGCATATTAAAATCAGTTCTTCACAAGTCCGTTTGTTGCAGAAAGCACTCTTCAGGGTCACTGTAGCCATGGTGTACGACGAAATTATCCTAAACTAAATTAGTAGACAGTTGAACGATAACACTAAGATGAATACTCATTTTATATATGATCCAGTTCATCTTACATCAAACCCAATATTGCAATCTTAGACCATACAGTTTGCTGGAATCGTAACAGATAGTAGCTATAAACTTAATTTTATGGTCGCGGATATTCGTAGTTTTACAACATCCCTACTAAGATAAAAAATAGAATAAAAAGTTTACTTAGTGATTCATACATATGAAGCAGTTCAAAGTCAAAATACTCATACCAGTGATATCAGCTGAATTACAATGTTTACGCTGCTCCTCATCCTCGTCATTAACATCATCATCTGACGTACGAGAATCTTCACCTACCGAATTATTTTGAAAAGTTACACTGTTTAATTCGGAGTTGAGTTTCATGCGATGCCAATATTTGCGCTGTTTAGCTGCCTCATCCAATAATGCTGTGGTAGGTTGACTGATGACAACAACAGTATAGACATTGTGTACAATTGAGTGATTTGTACCAACGTTGTCACTCGGTACAGAGATAAAATTACTGTCTTTTGTCAACAACTGTGACTTACTGTCTTCACGATATGGAAGTGAAATCGCAGTTGCATGATAAAAGTCTATCGGTGGGCATCCAGGGATACCCTCAGAACATTGAACTTTGGTCCAGAACCAACTTACTTCAAACCATTCTGAATATAAAAGGGTATGATTTGAAGAATTATACAGTAGTCTGTATACTAGAAAATTATCTTATTTACGAAAAAATGCAACATTCTTTAAAATATACCTAGTTTGAATGACATTTCCAAACAGTTTCTAGACATTCTTGTAAGAAAAATATGTGGACGCAATTTTAAAATATAAATATGTGTAAAACACTGAATCACAGGATCGAACAAGTAAAGAAATGGTACTCATTGTATAATAATCACACAGCTCTTTGAGTAATTTTAGGAAAAAAGAATGACTTACAACTATACATACTCAAATAATTATAAATATCCATGAGGGTACATCATGAGAATCATCAGAGATGGTTTAGTAAATATGTTGAAAACTTATATTCACAAGAGATTCGCATCTACACATTTTAGATGAAATATTCGAAGAAAACTAATTTTAATTCTAACACACTCCATCGAAGTAGATAGACTTTAGTTTGCGCAACGATCAGACAAATAAACTCATACTTGCACAAATAAGTCCTAGTGAATTATTAGTAAGGTGATAATTAAATTAGATACATACTCGGTTAGAATTTCACCAAGCAGTCTTCGAAAATGATTAAAAGTTACCAAAAATAACCATGGATTGTTAACACCAAATAGCGTGTTGTACATAAGATCTTGAATTGTAGTATGTAGCTAGAAATAAGCTTTGTCGACATGCATTGGTCAAAGTGTGCTTGAAACCTTGAGGAAATTCATATCCCCAAAGATTGGATTGAAACCAATTTTTTAGAGTTAAATTTAATGAAAGTACCACGAACCCTGTTGCGGCTGACAGGTTTTGAACAATAAAGATTAAAAACTTGGAGAGCAAATAAAGACTATCGACGCACTCTGGCAATCAGTACGAACAAACATCCAACATCTAATTTCGGATGTCTTGATGGATATAATTATGAGTTATTATATTGAATTGAAAAAGGTTTACGTGAAAACTCAATCTAAGTAGCGTTAAAAATATCTCAGCTTTCTTTGAGATCACAGTTGGAAATAAGACAGCAATAATAGGACCACGTTTATAACACTACCAAGATGGGGATCAGAATTCACTTGTTCAATAATTAATTGATGGGAAAATGACGGACATGATGTATATGTGCATAATACTACATTTATAAACTGGAACATAAAAAACTTAGTTGAATCCCATAAAAGTATTAAAGTTGATAGGAAGGTCTTCAAATAATGAGGTTTAACATAAACGAGATTAGTGTATTGTGACTGACAATAAAATCGAGTAAAGTTTGTAATGCCCCCAAATGCCCTGGTACGGCCGAGAGTGGGGAGAGTCCGCTCTCCCTCTCGAAATGCTCTCACATGGCCACGCGTATACAGCCCCTGCCAGGGAAGTCCTAATCACTGCCTTCTCGTGGCGGGGGTGTTGTTTACAAAAATGAGAGGACGAAAAGCGAATGTCCGGCGCTATAACCGGATCCCAAACCAATGGTGCACATGGGCTCCAGTATCCTGAGGGAACAAATGGCGTATGAAGCAATCGTTGGTCACCGGCTACCATGGGACTGCATCTCCTCACGATGCTCCACTGCCTTGTGGGTCAGACGTTCAGGTCGAAGGCTCGGGGTGTGGCCCCCTAAGAAAACCACCTGCTTCGGTTTGGGCACCCGGGCAGTATCACAGCCCTCACACATATCAAATGAGATCTGTGTTGCGCATATGTATTTGGTGCCTTCTTGTACCGATATTTATGTGTTAAAATAAATAATAATAATAAAAGTTTGTAATAACTAACCTTGACCAATATTTGGTGAACAACGTGTAAGTATCCATACATCTCTCGCCGGTCGACCATGATAGTTAAGCGTACTAGAAGTAGATTCAGAATCATTACTCGAATTAGGATTAACTGACATTCCTTGTTGTCGACGCACAGAATGATCAGTGGCCAAGGGTGATTCCAAATTCCCAAATAACAAAAGCATTCTATTTGAATCAAGAGCACAAGTTGAATGACCACAGCGCCCAGATGGCCAGTCACCTTGACAATTATCCGGTGTATCAGAAAGTGAAATCCAACAACTATTTTCCGGAGATATTACAAATAGGTAGTTAACGCACAATCCAAGAGATTGACACATTCCTCCGAATAAAACCAATACACTAGGTTCACCTACTCCACCTTTAGGGAGAAAGCATCCAGACTGGCCGGCAATAGCAGGTGGTGATACAGGACTTAAGTGGTTTACTTCGTATAACGGCATACGTGACCAATGCATTGTTGAAATATCAAAACTATTCAACTCAGTTAACCAATCCATACGGCCCTAGATAAATTTTAAAAAGAAATGAATTACAACCACTAGTATTACCCGAGACTTTGAGTGTTCAGGAAGTTTGGACAAAGTATTCTATGGAGTGCTATCAATCTGTACTTTGTTGAACAAGAAAAAAATATTACAACCAATACAGGTGAGTTACTGTACATGTATTGCGTAGGTTTATTAACAATACGTTAATGAATCTAATCCCGACCGTTGCTGATACCTTGACGTGGTGGTCGGGCTTGCCTATCGTGATGACCCAACCGAGCTATATTGGCTGGAACACATGTTCCTGCAGGTTCTACCATGCCAGGCAGGTCAATTGGAGAACGGTAAGACTAAAAGCAGCAACTCAAGGTCTGAGGGCGAAGTCGTACTGCTGACTGTATAGAGGTGTGACAGCAGTAAGGTGTTTCCCTCGGACAACCAGCATCTGCAGCGATGCTGCCTTCTCACAAGGAAGGAAGCGGTTAGAAAAGGTTGACCCTAAAAATGTCACACCTCACCTTACCCCACGGATTTCCGTCTCCGGCGGTAAGGCCGTTTGAAGAACGGAGCTAACACATTAAAACCCCCCACAAAAAGACCGTGCGCGACCGGCCTCAAGCAGTTGTCCCCTGGGCTCTGTGGTCACGCACCCAGGTCGCTAAGACCAACACTAATCCGATTTCCTTTTCAGGTTCCTCAAGAAATACCCTTCCACGGTGTGGGCAACTGGGAAGTGACATCAGCCCTCATACCCGTAACAGCGCACGAGACCAAGTTGGTCACATTCAAATCCTTCCTACACCTAATAACTCTCTTATCTCCACGACCAACCCTTCTCACATCCCTTTATCACCTCGCCCCGCTAGTGCAAACGATTCGAGTACGCGGAATGTTATTCCTGGTCTCCTGAAACCACGCTCCAAACTACACGTAGGAGCTTTCAACGTCCGAACACTGTGTCAAATAGGACAACAGGCTTCCTTAGCTAAGACTTTGGAATCTCGCTCCATCGATGTGTGCTGCGTCTCCGAAACGCGCACACAGGATCCTAGTAGTATCATTCATTTGACCTCACAATGTCAAAGTAACGAACCAACTCGATTTACGCTTCGTGTATCTGGAAGCCCTAATGCTGCTTCCCGTGGCCTCGCTGGCGTAGGTATAGCATTGAGTCATAGGGCAGTACTAGCTCTCTTAGACTGGATCCCAGTCGACAGTCGTCTGTGCGCTGTCCGACTTAACGGAACAGTAAGGACTCGAAAAGATAGGGACTCTCGTCGTTGCCTGTTCGTCGTCTCCGCCTACTCTCCAACTGACTGCAGCTCAGATGATGTAAAAGATGAGTTTTACAGAAAGCTTTCCAACCTTCTCCGAAAAGCTAGGCGTTCAGATGTAGTAATAGTGGCTGGTGACTTTAATGCTCAAGTAGGTAAACTAAGCGAAAGGGAAAGACACCTGGGTGGATCTTATGGTGTCGCGGCCCAAAGAACAGATAACGGCGACCGTCTGTTGCAGCTATGCCCAGATAACCGCCTGTTTCTTGCAAACACTAACTTTAAGCATAAGGAAAAACACCTTTTGACATGGAGACCCCCTAATTCGTCCCAACGCTGGGCCCAAATAGATCACATCGCTATCAACCACCGATGGAGGGGCTCGATAAAAGACTGCCGCTCATTCCGGAGCACATGCTTAGACTCAGATCATGCTCTAGTGAGAGCGCGTATTTGTCTACGCCTTACTGGACGTAGGAAAGACGGTGCAAGGAAACCCCTTAGGGTTCTACTTAGTGATAGTCAAGCTAAGAGTATATTTCAGGAACAACTATAAAAACAGTTAGGCAGCCATGTAAGTGATGCCCACCAAGAGGCAGCGTGGAATGACATCCGAAAAGCTGTAGAAACAGCAGTGATGTCTGCAAGTACGGTAAACCATAAGGTTAGGGAGAAACACTGGATCTCAACAGCGTCTACCACACTAATAGATGCTCGTAAACTCATTCCATCTGGCTCTGAACATAACGAAGAGCTGAGTCAGCTTAGGCGTAAGCTGACTAGCTCAGTTGCTTCATCACGATAGGCAAGCCCGACCACCACGTCAAGGTAGCAACAACAGTCAGGCGGAGAAAGATGGAAATATTATTCATTCTTAATCCAGGAGATTGGACCGATGGGCAGAACACTTTAGGGATCAATTCAACTGGCCTCCAGCCACACTTCGGTTTCCCACGATCTCCAGTCGACCTGAATGGCAAGTCATTGTAAGTCCTCCGACTCTTTACGAAGTTGAAAAAGCTATAGGAAATCTGAAGCGTGGGAGAGCAGCAGGCCCTGACAGGTTTACCCCTGGGATTTTTAAGGATGGCGGTCCAGTATTAGCAGCGAGATTGACTGAGGTCTTAGGTAGAATCTGGGAACTGGATGTAATCCCATCTGACTGGTCTCAATCACTGATTGTTCCAGTCTATAGGAAGGGACAAAAGTCCTCCTGTGACGATCACAGAGGAATTAGTTTGACTAATATAGTGTCTAAAATATTAGCTTCAATAATACTTCGACGTCTAACCAAAGCTCGTGAAGAGCAGACTAGAGAAAACCAGGCTGGTTTTCGACCTGGACGTGGTTGTATTGATCAAATATTCACACTACGTCAGGTCCTAGAACATAGACACACATTCAGACGCCCCACAATCGTAGTATTTCTCGACCTTAAGGCGGCATTTGACTCTGTTGATCGTGAGGTTCTATGGCAGTGTTTGTCACTGAAGGGAGTACCAGAGAAGTACATCAACCTTATAAAGGCTCTCTACTCGAACACAACTGGTCGAGTGAGAGCTTATGGTGAACTGTCATCAGAATTGATTACCTTATGTGGTGTTCGTCAGGGCTGTCCACTCTCTCCATTCTTGTTTAACTTTGTCATTGACGTCCTTTTAGAGATGACACTTTCCTCATTTGAATTTCCAGGAGTTGAACTTCTACCGGGAGATCCACTTGTTGACTTAGAATATGCCGATGACATAGTTCTATTTAGTGAAGACGCTGACAAGATGCAGAGTCTGCTGACCACTCTAAGCAACAATGCAGGCATGTTCGGAATGTGATTTTCTCCCTTGAAATGCAAAATGTTGCTTCAGGATCGGGTTGCGTCGACACCCGAACTAGTGATAGGGAGTGAAGTAGTTGAGCGTGTCGACCATTTCACTTATCTTGAAAGTTTCATCAGCCCTTGTGGTCTGGTGTGTGACGAAATCTCAGTACGGGTACAGAAAGCTCGACTAGCTTTTGCCAACTTGCGTCATTTGTGGCGTAGGCGAGATACCCGTCTATCAACCAAAGAACGTGTTTACTGCGCAGCACTTCGTTCTGTCCTACTTTATGGCAGTGAAACATGGCCAGTAAGAGTAGAGGATATTCGTAGGTTACTAGTATTTGATCATAGGTGTCTTCGAAACATTGCTCGTATATCCTGGGACCACCGAGTAAGTAACTCAGTTGTTAACAACCGTGTACTAGGTAAGGATGGCAAATCAATTGATGAAGTAGTGAAACTTCATCAGTTGAGATGGCTGGGACATGTGCTGCGCATGCCCGACCACCGACTGCCCCGACGTGCTATGTTTTATGGTGTAGGAGTAGGTTGGAAGAAAGCTAGGGGCGGCCAGACCAAAATATGGCACAAATCCATGAAGTCACTGACAAGTGGACTGAGCCATGTTGGTAGATGTAGACTACTTGGTTGGGGTCCGCGAGATGATAGCAACCGATGGTTAGAGACGTTGAATGACATGGCTGAAAATCGTTTGCGATGGCGCAGGTGCATCCACTCTCTGTGTTCTTTCAAACTCTAATCTTCTGAATTCTTCATGTCCTTTATTTTCTTTCTAACTCGATTCCACTGGATTATACTCCTTAAATAACATCATCAAACCCTAATGTTCCCTATCACTACTTATTCTTTCACTACCTCTACCACTACGGGATTTGAATCGACAACTGCATCTCTGTGCTAATGTGGTATGGCAACTCGAACTGATGTACGTACGTACGAAGTTCCACGTTGTTACTGACTGACTGACTGAATGAATCTAATACTCATCTTGCATTGGACGAAGTATCAAAATTTTACTGCAAGAAATATATATCAAAAAGCAATACTAACAACTGTTTATCCCCATCTCGTAAGTCCGTCTAATTTTTACTTAAATATCCTCCTTACAATCCCATCTTCAAAACTAGTTAAAAGGTTTTCTGTTTCAACTTATGTGCATCCAGTAAGGCAAGCAAACACGTATTAACATTGGAGCATGAACAGAGTTAAAACATCTTTCAACATACGGTCTACCTGTCTTTATGTTTGGTATTGGTCTTTACTAGTAACAAATAGCTGTCTCAGCATACTTTCTAATTGTGAATTTAACAACATACATATATTAGATGTGTTCTTTGTGTATCTTCTGGAATGATGATTTTATATACATTTATCACTAACACTAGCAAAGAGTACAACGACCTGTCTGTTCTTCTTTGAGATTGTTCTAATAACTAACAAATTGGATCAAGGAATGGATTCGTCTTGCTGATAAGCAAATTAGTCCTGAAATAAGTCACGGAACACAATCATTTCAGTTTTTTTCAGGTGAAGGCATACAACCAAATCACTATGGATTGCCAAATGAAAAAGCCTTGTCATCTTGTTAAGGAATTCTTACCAACGTGACGTACGTGACCTAGACTATATGAGCAACCTATCTATATTCCAGTTGTAAATTACAAGAGACCAAAAAGACGATTATTTATATGCAAGTGCACAACTTATAAACTAACTTCTGTGAATGCTAGATGAGCTAATACTATAACAGACTCAGCGTCGAGCCACACATTTTGCGCTAGAACTAGTGATATTATTCGGCTGCCAGGGTAGGTGGAACATAGTTCGACCAGAAACTTACTAACTGAGAGTCAATAAGCCACCGCTCATAAGAGAAAATGTCTAACGTAATTCTTACCGTATGTTCCGATCCCGCCCTATGAAAGCTTTGACAACCTCCGTACAGATAAAGTAGATTTCCAATAAAACCACCTTTAGCATGTGCTCTTGGCGTTGGTAGCTCACCTGATAAATAAACAATGTAGAGATTTTGAAACTTAATAAAATGATCAAATCACATTGCGGATATAAAAGGTATTAAATAGTGGATATTTACATATAAATCCGATAGAAAATTCAATTAAATCGCAGATCCTTTCACCACTTGTAAACAGCTAGAAATACCCATGGATTGGCAGGACCGGATAACTGAAACCACTTACAACAAACCTATCGAAGTGAACTATGCGTTATCTTACTAGTTAGAACAATAACTAGTTAATTACGTCGTCACGATAATATGACAAACCACATCACGACATCTTATCAGTCCACTAAGTCATTGACTGATCATCTGAACTGCCTTTGCAGTTACTAGATCAACGAACTAGTCACAATTCACAGTGGATGGCTCAAAACTGGTTTCAATACTGCAAACATATTAGTCATTTATCTTCCTCTAAATCGCGACTTATCTACATAAATACATGTATTTGTGGTCTATTGAGAGGTAATGATAGTCGAAGGTCATTAGAGAACCAATTAATTTGAAACTTCATGTACGTTGTCTGTTCGTTATTTTAGAGGATTACGAAAGGCGAATTAGGAAATTAACTTTTGCTACACAAGATTTTCATGTAAGTGTAAGATTTTGAAAGTCCTTACTTACTTACGCCTGTTACTCATCGTGAAGGAGCATAGGCATAGGAACCAATATTACATAGCTGAAAATGGCCCCAAAATGCCATAACACTTTTATTGTAAGTATTATTTGTTACCTTTCTTCTGAACTTATAGATAGACACTTAGGTTTGTAAAGTTAACTCTTTTTGGCATATCATTGGTACTGTGAGCATTGTTATATGTAGAGTAGGCCACGTGTACAGTCACTGCTAGGGAAGTCCTACTCACTGCTTTCTCGTGGCGATGTTGTTTACGAAATTGAGAGGGTGAGAGGCGAATATTCGGCACGTCAACTGGGTTGGCGATATTGAGGATCCATTTAGGGGAGTTGGAAAACCCTGATTCCAAACCAATGTTGAACATGGGCTCCAGAACCCTGAGGGAACAAATGGCGTATGGACCTATTGTTGGTCACCGGCTAACATGGGACTGCATCTGTTAACGTCACTCTATTGCCTTGTGAATTAAACCTCCACGTCAAAGGTTCGGGGAGTGGCCTCTAAGAAAACCACCTGTCTTGGTTTAGGCGCTTGAGCAGTATCCCAGCCCTCACAAAAATCGAATGACAAAGTGTGGCGCATATGTATTTGGTGCCTCTTTTGTGTTCAAACAAATAAATAGCTTGATAGGTTTTACTTAACTATCCCCTAACCTTACTAAGATACAAGCTATTCGTCACCGAGAGCTCAATTTTGAACGGTATGAATAACTTACACCGTAGATGATAAAAGTTCGCTTTTTGAGTACACTGAGTTAATGATGATTATTTTTACTCCGCAGATTTACACAGTATCAAGTCCAAAATCAGGACATCCATCTTGAACTAAATACTAGTTGACCACTACCAGTCATGTTTGATTGAACAGCACGGCAAAACTCGAAAATACTGGGATACAGACCATCGCCTATTTTCTCTCTTCAAGCCCCCGAAAGCATTTTTCAGAAAGGATTTTACTGAATATTTAATATCTAGAAAGACAACCCGAAAGGTCACTTTGACATGCATGAAGTGTTGAAGACGTGACGAGGACAGAACCACAACGGTGGTATTGACTATAGTTAATAACTTCCGGAAGAAAGCGATGAAAAGTCACTAAACTTCGAAATGGTGACCCGAAATCGATAAGACTATAATTTATGGACGACCTTTGAGCGAGCTAAAGTGGCCTTGAGAATATCCACCCACTGATTAGAGCTAAATGAGGGTTTTAGACCTGTTTGAATGATAAAGATTGTGATTTCCAATTTATGGTTAGGTATAGAGATTAGACTTCGGGGTTTCATCACTAACTTACATAATTTAAAGTGCCAAGATGCTATTTAGTCTAGTGGATAAGAAATTTCGTGCTGAAATCTAAGATCTGTCATCGCAAATCTGATTGGCTCGTTCATAAATGTTAGTCTCGCACCAAAATCTTACCCTAAATGGAATCCGAACACGGTATGTGAAAGAAAACTAACCCCTTAACTGAGCAAATATATCATTTGACAGCACTAAAGTCTGAGTAGAAAGTAAACTGACCTTTACCAATCAGACGCTGCCAGCTGAAGGTGGATAAATCATAGGTCCATAAATCATTAAAGGCGGTTAGTTCCTTTGTAGCACCACCAAAAACATACAATAGTTGCCCTTTCAATATGATAGTTGCTCCAAACCTCTTGGATGGGGATGTGTGTTTGAAACGTTCTGTACAGGTAGCTAGTTGTGGAGATACCCATTGCAATGGCCTCTGCATTTTAAACGCAGATAGACTAAGACTTTCACGCAGCTTGAAGACGCTCTGACCAACCTCTCTCCATCGTTTGCAGACATTGAGTACTGTGAGTAAATCAGTACAAGGAGAGAGTAACATAAAAATATATTGCAGTAATTCAACAGGGAGGTCGCTGAACATTTGTAACGCTACATTTGGAAAATGTTAACGAACCCCAATCTCAAGGGCAAATTTTGACCATCAGGCTGATCATTTGAGTTGTACTTGACATTTCACCGAATGCACTTGAACAAGCATCCCCATCGAATGATGTTGTAACTCGTCATGAAACGCACCTCGACTGATAACTAATCAGCTTGGAAGTCACAAATCACGTTAGCTAACCATACGACGAGATAAAAGTTTCCATTCGACTATCATCATCTCTTTCCTAACTTACTTTGAGATAACTTCATTTGTAAAGACTGTGATGTCACCGTTGTTAAACACTTCCATGTGTGAATCTTATTCAAACTGTCAAGTTTGTCAAGATTAAACGGTAGAACGACTGTTTGTCCGAGTCGTATCCTGAGTGAAGCAAACTAGTTTTGGTGTATGGCTCTGCCTGTGGCTCTTCAAGGACTACAGTTGGTCTCAAGCTCGGGTAGAAGAGAAGGGTTGAGCACGTAGTCACCAACCCCATCCCGTAGAAAACGACCTGGCTAAAAAAAATGCCAACCCTAACGAACAAATCAAACAATTTAAACTCTGCCCTGGGAGTTATGACGCCTCACGATGAAAGCCGTGATTTTTCCGAAGTCATGAGGGCGATGCCCATTCTAACAACCAGAGCAACAATTAACATAGTTACATGGAACGTCCAACCAATGTGGGAGACCGGGAAGACTAGTCAAATAGCTACGGAAATGAGGAGATACAACTTGGCAGTACTAATAATCAGCGAAACCCATTGGACCCAAGCTGGATAGCAAAGAATAGATTCCAGAGAATTTATGTTGTACTCCGGCCACAAGAAGGGAGTTGCTCAGCATACTCAGGAAGTCGCTTTGATGCTGTCCAAAAAACACTGAAAGCACCTATAAAATAACTATTAAATGGTTACAGAAGCATTGAAGCAATCTTCAGAACAAAGAAGGTCACACGGAATGTTATGCAATGTTATGTACTCAACAATCATAGCAACGACGACGATAAAGATCTGATTCACGAGAGACTGCAAGCAATCTTAGCAAAATGTCCATAAAACGACCTGACAATCTTGATAGGAGACTTAAGTGTCAAAGTTAGAATGGACAACATCGGATACGAAGATATCATGAGATGCAATGGACTGACTAAGAGAAAAGAAAGAGGATTGTGACAGATTTGCACATTCATGTCCATTAAACAAAATGGCTATAGGCGGCACAATATTACCACATAAACACATATACAAAGCTGGTTGAGTCTCAATTATTCACACTACAGAGAATCAGACCGGTCATATTTGCACATGTAAAAAATTTCGAAGGTGAATGGAAGACGTGAGAACCAGGAGAGGAGCTGACATAGCTTCAGGTCACCAACCAGTTGTGGTCAAGATGAATTTGAAGCTAAGGAAACATTGAACGATTGGAGAAACAGAAGTATGAAGGTTCAACACGGACTTCCTACGAGATATTAACGAACTCAACCAATTCAATATAACTCTTAACAACAGGTTCCATGCCTTACAGGATCTACTAAAGAAAGAAACTATTATGGAGGGCAACTGGAAAGGGTTCAAAAAAGCACTAACTTCAACGTGCCAGAAGGTTTTGGGCAGTAACAAACATCATCACAAGGAACGAACCGCTATGGAAACCCTGGACAAAATTCAACAAAGGACAGCAATTAACAATGGCTGAACCAGAGCAGAGAAAATCAAGGCACAATCTGAATAAACACAAGCAAACACGAGAGTGAAGAGGAGCATTAGAGCCGGTCAGCAGAAATGTGTGGGAAACCTGTCGACAACAGCGGATAAATCTGCAAGAGAAAGAAATATGTGATAACTATATGACAAACCGAAAAAACGGGCAGGGAAATATATTGTGGAGGACAGCTGACAGATGAATTCCAAGTGAGGACTGAAGACAGGCAAGGCTACCTACTGTCTCCCTCGATATCTGAAAGAAAGCACGAAATACGATTAACAGATTGCATACAACTAGACGACTTGAACTTCGCAGGTCGTCTAGCTCTTCTATCTCATACACAGCAACATATGTAGGTGACTTTAGCCAGTGAACTACCAGCCTCTGCGCCATTAGACCTCAACATACACAAGTGAAATGCAAGATCTTGCAATACACTACAAAGAACACAAACCCAATCACACTTGATGGAGAAACTCTGCAGAAGGTGGAAGCTTTCACATACCTGGACAGAATTTTCGACCAACAGCGAGGATCTGATGCAGACATAAAGGCAAGGATTGATGAAACAAGGACTGAATTCCTACAGTCGAACCATGTGTGGAATACAAGACAACTATCAGCCAATATCAAAATCACGATCTTCAATAGAACGTCAAGACAGTTCTACTGTACGGGACTGAAACTTGGAGAACTACAACAACCACCATCAAGAAGGTACAAGTATTTATTAACAGATGTCCACCCAAGATATTCATTATTCGTAGGTCAGAAGCCGTCAGCAACAGCCTACTGTGAGAGAGAACAAACCAGCTTACTTCTGAAGAGGAAATTAGGAAAAAACATTGGAAGTGGATAAGACAATATTAAGGAAATCATCCATCTGCATCACGAGGCAAGCGCTTATCTGGGATTCCGAAGGGAAACAAAAAAGAGGAAGACCAAAGAACAAACTGCCTTGGCAATCGGAAGTAGAAGTGAAAATGATAGATGTCAACTGCAGAGAACTGGATGGGTTTGCCCAGGAAAATTGTATAGAAAATAGTAGCGGTCAGCCTTAATCCCTTCATGAGGGGTAGAGAACGTAAGTAAGTAAGTAATTTTCGATGTATGTGAAGTAATTATCTTCATGTTAATTCATTAAACATCTGGACGAATGAATGTAAAATGTAAGAATAACTATGAGGTGGCATCTAGGACATGTTTTCGCAATACTACTGAACCTTAGACGTATTTTAAACTTTCCTTTAATAAAACTGGCAGAAGCCACAACTATTACTTACCTAATAGTATTTCTCAAGAATACTCTCAGAATACAAACCGACGACGAAAATGATTAATATTATTATTCACAAATATCTTATGGGTACATAACTGTTGTGAATAAATCACTTCGGGTTTCTTCAAAAATGCAATAATGCACAAGTTTCATTAATATTAGCATTATATTTGCCGTATTTGAAAAAGAGAATAATAATAGGATGATAATAATAGATCAGGTTATGTATAATTGAGAACAGCCTAATATATGGGGCTGGCTATCTACAAAGTAATGGTTAGCCGTACAAATGATCCTTGGTGAGGGTTTCTGTGTGGCAGGGTTTAACACACAATTATCCGAGTCTTGTTTTACAAATAGTTCAAGAGATAACTTAAGGGATCAATGATGTTAATTTCGTATTATCAGCAACCTGGTCGTGGCGCACTAAAACCAATCTGGGCACAGGATGTACCTAGATATTGCTCAGCCTGCTGTAGCTTGGGCCCTGTAAGGGCTTCATTAGAGAGCCTTGGGGGTTCATATTTTTATACGACGATGGAACTCGGCGACTGGAAATAATCTAGGCAACGGTTAAGTGAAAAAAATTGTAGAGGATAATTTATGGCGTAAAATAGCGTATAAAATTAAGTGAAAACAAGATGAATTTATAGTTGATATCCCGTAGAGTTTCGTCTATATTAAGTGAGTGGTTTACAGTCAGATGTGAGTTTGCGTTGCATTGTGACTATACTTATTAATGGTTGATATTCTGATCTTCATCGCAGGTTATCAATATCAAATGACTGGGGACCTACTCGAGTTAGACGTGATTGGTGTAACTAACCAGCCGACGTTCAAGTCACACCACATGTTTATTACCCTATATGGATCACTCTTCAGTCGCATCCAAGCACTAGGGCTATTTTAGTGGCCTTACAAAGCAATGTTATTACAGAAGTATTCTATTAAGAGTAGATACACGGAACAGAGTGCGACCACTGTCATATGACCCAATCTATACGAAGAAGAACAATAGACCAAACTTGGCCTTACCTACTTTTCCACAACCTTTAACAGTCTGAATGACAGAAGACATTCCTGATTTGAAGTGCTTGACGTTGGTTGCGTGAACATAAGCTAGCAAGGTTCTTGGGTGTTCGCACACTTGCGTAGACTGTTTATGTCTAAAAAGCACTAAGTTCGTTGCTAACAACATAAACTTTGTCTTTTCAGTGTAAACCACAGATTGATTGCTGCTATATAGTATTTTCCGAAAGAGCAATCGGTTGAATACTTATACTGGGGTGCTCATGATGAATGACCAAGTAAATTATACGGCTGAATACAGTCAAAAATGACTCCATAGACTGATAATCTGTGTAACGCAGATCTATTCAAAAATAAAGAGATGTCAGACAGTCAGTGAGTTTTGAACTGTTGTCTTCCTTGATAAGTTTTCTGGTTGAACGCTAGATTCGACATCCTAAGTTCTCTAGTAGACCTCAGGCTAAATCGACACAGAGACTTGAACACAAGAGAAAAGGCTCGAAATAGAGAAGAAATGCTTTACTCCCATGTTCGTTTATGTACAGAAATTCTAGGGGTTAATAGTATTTTAGATGATCTTGGGTTTCTGGAAAATTCTGGAACGCTACTAGACATGGTAGCAGTATAGGTGATCATTCAATCAAAAACTCGATTTACGACTTTTCACTTTCTAGGTGTTTCTGGCAAAACATCCAGTGAATGCTGGTTGTGTAAGATGCTTCCCGGTGTTTTCAGAACCTTTTTCAGTTTTTTTTCGAGGAGCTTTCTGGATCTTCCCAACATTCCTCCGCTGGTGTTAAAAATTCCTTCTACTCTGCAGGTAGTAAAGTTGCTGAGCAATAATCAATCCTTCATTTCGTTTTTGACTAACACAATTCCACTTGTTGTGCTTCTTGTCCGAAAAATACATTGATCGACCTGGTTGATGTGCTAAGATGAATCATGCTAATCAGACGGCTCATAAATTAGGCGGAATGTGAAACAGCTGTGAATGAATTCCAGCACTTAGAAGA